GGAAAGTAAATGATACACCCTTCTTAGGGGCTCTGTGCGCAAAACTTTGACTGTTCTGCCTGCACCTTCTTACCAAAGCCATATAACGCCTCGGAACAAAATTTAAAAGAGCTTACATCCCAGTTACGGCTCTCATTATGTGAGCTAAAGTTGATTTCTCTGGTGCTAGGGGAACCTCAAGCAGGCCGCCCACGCAAGCTTAGTGAGGACCAACGAGACAATACCTTGGAGCTTAGCATGACTAATTCCCATATTAAGATCCGAGAAGTAGTCTTCGACGTCGATGAGGCCTTCATAAAGCGCTCAATCCAAAGGCTTTCAAGGGAAATGGGCCGCCGCAAGTGAAAGCAGCTTTAGCAACCAGAGATTAAGCCTCACTATTTATTGGGGACCATTTCTATAAGGGGGAATACCGGAGAGACGATATCTAGCACTGTTCATGAGCCTTGTGTGCAACTAATAATTGAAACGGCTGAGGGGCCTCTCTAGCAGGCTGGCATTTTGCCTTGGACAGGTAAATTATGCCTGGATAGCGTCTCCTTTCTGCACCACCGGGCAGGGCCATGAGCCATTGCACAGCTGTTCAGCTGGGGCATAAGCCCGGACTGCTCGGTTAGACGATGATTTGGGTTAGTATATACTGCTCGTCAGACAAGGTCCTCGAACAATCGAAGAGGATCTGGTTGACCTGATTATCGGGGGCACCCAAAGGTCATAAATATGCATACATATTCCTGCCAGATATTGGGTATAGAAACGTGTAGAACGCGTTCTCTGATATGCCAAGCTTTGGATTACTTGCAAGTGGGTCTCCTCCATGATGCCAAGACACCTCCAAATGACCCCATTGTCTCCAAACACGCAAGCCTTTTCTGTGGATCCAGCAGCACAGGGAGAGTGATACTTAAAGAGCGCTTTGAATTCAAATCAGAAAACCATCGAAATCAAGCTCACTCAAATCTAATCCTTCTAATTTCTGTCCGCAATCTTTGAAATATGTCATGCCTAACCTATGTCAATGAAGCGGGTGCCGGCCAGAAGCACAGCGACCTCTGCCACTACTCTCAAGCCGTTCTCCTTCCCGGGAACATTGTTAAATGCGCTGGACAGGGTGGTTGGACTAACTCAGGGGACCTCGATGACAGCGACGTTAAGAAACAGATTGATCTAGCTTTCGAGAATGTCGATCGGGTCCTCCAGGCTGCCGGTTTGAAAGGGTGGGATGATGTCTATCTCGTTCGCTCTTACCACGTTGATATGGAAGCTTCTTATGACTACGTTGTCGAGAAGCTCAGGAAGCGTATCCCTGCACATCGGCCTGTCTGGACCGCCATTGCTGTTCCTCGCCTCGCCTTTCCGGAGATGTTGATTGAGATCGAGGTCGAGGCGTTCAATCGTCAATCCTAGACATTTCAAACATGTCCCGTGTTCATTCGGGTAAGAACAGCGAATGGCTTGTATTTGGCATTCGGTGCTAATAACACTGATGAACAGAAGGATTCCCAGTGCCTGCTTTTCTGCTTCTCATTATGGCGGTTATGATTGTACCCTTTGATCTTACTATCAATTTATAGGGCTGTGCAGAGTATACAATTTCAACCATTCAACACGTTTTATAAAAATAAAGCAGTATTCAATTCAGCCAAAGTGTAGAACATGACGACAAATGCTACATGATAGGGCTTCCTCTAGGGCTTTTCGTTGATGTCATCGACAATGATTACGTGATCACGACCACCTCCACACACGCTCCTCCATCTGCGCCTCCAACGTTTCTCCTGCTTCCCTAACACTAACCAACCCCTTCATTGCCCATTAGTGCAGCAGTCAAAGTGGCTGTCTCAATGGATGTATTCCCAGCAGCACAAACTCCCACAGACACTCCGACTGGCAGAAAGAAGCCCCGAGCATGCCCCTATTGCAAGCGTTCCTTCCGACGCTACGAACATCTCCAACGACATCTTCGAATCCGTTAGTGGCCACTTACGGACCGAATCGTTTATCGTTGCAACTAAAGAAACCCTGATCCAGATACAAATGAAAAGCCTTACAAATGTGCTTGCGGTGCATCATTCAGCCGGCGTGACCTTCTAAAGCGCCACCAAAGCATTGGCCATGCCCCAACCACCTCCTCAACGGACGATCCGTCGCCCACGGCGGCTCATGACACCAGCAATGTCCAGTCGCAAGCTGATTACTCTCAGCCCAGTCTTCAGCCGTCTTTGCTGGAATTGGCAGATCTGCCAAGTATCCCGACGGGGTCAACGAGCCAGACAAGTCAATTTAGCCATGTTCAACTCGATGGTATGTTGTGGCTCGTCGTCAAATTCGTTATGTCCCACGTAACGCTCGCCAAATGGCACAAAATACGTCTGATCTGTCAGAACAGTACTGACTTCATGCAGGGATCCCGCTATTGAGCTCTCAAGATCTACTGGTCCTGCAAGATTTAGAGATGTTCAGCAACAACATGAGCTTAAACAACGAGTGGTATCTCCCAACTGAGCCTTGCATCACACAGATCTTTGCGGGAGAGTCCAGTTTCAACGCCCAGTCAGCTCCATCCACTACACTGCCACTCGAGGGGTATGCCTCAGGTGATGATCAAAGTTTGAGCAAGTTACCCACTGAGCGAGAAGCCGTCGGTAAGATTTTCCCAACGTGCAATGGCGGCAGACTTCGTACGCTGACCATGGAGTGCAGCGGAATTTGGCGTTCTGACATTGCCTATCCTGACCGTCACAAATCAACATCGGGAACGCCTGCTCCAAACATTGACCCAGGCCCATTCTACTGAGGCGGCTAGCGATCTACCGTCATGTCATTCACTGTCACGATTTGCGAATGGGTTCTTCGACGGGTTCTACCCTCATTACCCGATGGTACATATTCCAACTTTCCGAATCGATGATGGCGAGCCGGAGATTCTCCTAGCTATGTGCGCGCTCGGAGCTCAATTCCGGCATGAGAACCGAAAAGCGATGCTACTATTCCATGCCGCCAAAGATGTGCTTCAACATAGGACGCGCGAAAGAGACCGGATGGGGGATGAAAGGACGTTCAACAGTCCTGTGGAGCTTGAGACCAGTTTACACCAGAACAATGCTACCACTGGTTATTATACTCCGCGTTACCGCGTAACAATGCGCGACGCACGCTGTGCCTTCCTACTAATCGCATTTGCAACCTGGCAAAAAAAGGAAGACATTGCGAGAGAAGCTTTCGACCTCCAGAGCTTCCTGGCGAGATGTGTCAGGGAATGTCAGCTGGAAGAGGCCGCGCAGTCTCTGACCGCTGATGCTACGGACTGGCGAGCATGGATTCAGCAAGAGATCGACCGAAGGGTGAAACTGTTCTCTTTTGCCCTCCTGACCCTGCACTCTTTAGCGTTCGGCACTCCACCAGCGATCTTGACCGATGAAGTCCGCGTTCGCCTGCCATGTAGCTGCCTGGAGTGGATTGCTCCAAATCAAGAGAAATGGGCCCGTATCCGCAGCAGGCCCAGCTTTCGCGAGCAGATGCTGTTTCAGGATGCTCTCTGTCACATCATGAAACATCCCCAGGAGGCAGGCTTTCCGAATGCATATCCTGTGCCATCCCCTCTGGCAAACTACATCCTTCTCCATGCCCTCATTCAGCAGATCCTGCTTGCATACCGGACTCTGGGGCCATACAATGAAGTGAACAAGTCCTTGATGAATGGACAAAAAGAGATCATACGGTAAGTTTTCTATTAGGTCGCGCATCAGCTTAGTAGCATTGTTGATGGCCTATTAATTCCGTTCCCATCCTCGCAGCAACGCGCTTCACACCTGGACCGGTCTCTGGCAAAGAGCCCCAGAATCAAGCTTGGATCCCCGCAACCCCAACGGTCCCGTCACTTTCACATCCACTGCACTGCTTGGCGTTGCATATGTGCGACTTGGCCTCGATTTGGGTTCGTATCGGATCCTGCGATCGCGGGATGCAAAGGAGATAGCCAGCCGACTAGTACAGATGCCTGCCCTCCCCGTCGGGCCCTATCTCCTCCCAGCCATCCTGCATGCTACACACGCGCTCAGCATCCCCGTCAAACTGGGCGTGAATTTCGTGGCCCAGAGTCATGCGTTTGTGTGGAGCGTGCAGCATTCGCTATGCGGGTTGGAATTTGCCATCTTCCTCAGCAAATGGCTGTTCTGTATCGCTGATTGCCAGACCCGGAGGCCGCTGGACGGTATGTGATTTTCCATTTTCGTTCACAAGAGCAGAAGTCAATTTACAAAACAACGAGAATATTGTACTTGCATTTGTTTGCTAATATGTCTATAAACAGAGCACGAATCTCGCCTCGTAAGCTGGATTACCGACATTGTCGAAGAAGGACGAACCTCCGGAGACGATGATCTGTGGTCGCGACCCCCAAGTCCATCCGACTGTGTTTACCTTGGCCATGCCGTGGCGAAGCTCTGGGCTCGTCTAATCCGAGGGAATGAACAGTGGTTGCTCCTTAAGGTGATCGGTGATGGGCTTGATATTTATGCTGATATCTGCGAGCGGAATTATGCGCAACCCGGGACTGTCGTCTCTGTGCCTACGTCGAATTGATGATCTTTCCTAGAACTCTTGATCTCATGTGCTGGGTATGATAAGTTGACGCCTTGGTTGATTCGTTTAGTCTGAAGGCGTTTTCTGGAGAAATGGTTCTTTCTTTCTAGTTATATCCACGCCTGGCCGATAAGTACACTGATCTGAGGGGCGCCACACATGCACGCATTGCATTATCTGACGATGTCCAGTCTATGCTCATCACAGCCCTATCATTTATATTGTATGATATTGGAGATAACCGTACGTGTCAATCTAAAAGCCTCACGGGGGTGGTCTTGCTCCAAACGTCCAGAAAAGCCATATTACTCTCTCCCTGCCAACACGAGATTCGATCAAATCAAGATAGGCCAGCCCCAGCTCACGCAGTTGCTCCACAATATAGGTAAATTGCTGCCCCGGGTCTCGCCATCTTTATGCCACGCCAGCTATTCCACCGACTGAGACGGAAGCCCACCCGCTCAGGCCCAATAGCATCGGCCACGGCTTTGGCTACCTCCAACCACGAACCGTGCGCGGTTGGGCACGCTCCCGCCCTTTTTGATCTTGTTCATCTGTCCGTTAGTTGGACACTTCCTGCAGAATCTGATCGATCAAATGCCCGTTGGCGCCGTGGATATCTACGCTGTCGAAGCCTGCGTGAACGGCGTTGTTCGCGCCGGTGATGAAGTTGCGGATGATGCGTATGCGTATAACCCGCTTTGGACTGCAACACAGCAGGATCCGCCGCGCGGCCCAGGGGCATGAGCTGACGGTAGATGAAGCTCCCCTTTTGCGGACGGGGTCGATGATCTGTTTCCAGCCGGTGACTTGCGACTCGCTCGTGATACCAGTTCCATGGGGCGCGCCGCTTTCGGCTGCTGATATTTCCGTCGCTTGGGCGATGAGCAGTGTCCCTGGCACCCATGCCCGTTGCTCGTAGTAGGTTTGGGCCGTGGGGAGTGGGATGTCATCCGAATCGGCGCGGAATCACGTAAGCGGGGCCATGACCACTCGATACTTAAGGCTGAGATTGCCGATCTCGAAAGGCTGGAGCGACTTAAGTGGTGGTGGGCATGGTGACGGGGTGGTGTTCACCGTGAAGCTGGAATAACGGGAATTCGTGCTATTCTTCCAGCAAAAATGCAGGATAATCAATTGGTTTCAATGGATTGGAATACTTGTCTCATAGCTGACTTCATTAGGTACAAATATTTTCCTTTTTGTTCTTCGCCACGGCCGAATCCGGCGCTGGATAGGGCTGTGGAGGTACCACCTCCAGATACCACCAATCGTCTCCAACATCTCCAACAATACTCTCAGAGAAGTGCTTGGCCTGACAAATCAAACACACCCAAGGCACCCGGACAGGAAATAAATATGCTGGAATCCTCTTGAAGCAAACATGATCCATTCAAAAATTGCTGTTACGGCCCATGTGATGTCCGGGACTGCGCGATCTTTAAAGAGTCCAGTAGGCCCCCAGCTTAGGTGGATTTACATACATTTTAAAGTTCGGAGGTCTGAGAGCAGTGCTGTTACTTCCTTGGCGCCCTTAGTCCCAGACCTTGGCCCTGAGCCGATAGCTGGGACAGTCGTCGACCTGGTTGCCCAACATGGAAGCAAGTAATACTAAACTGACCCAGTTCTGGCACGCAAGAGTCCCGAGTAAATGTGATAGGCCCTTCCTCGGAGCTGAAGCTCCCTGACAGGTTTGCATTTCGCCACCAGGCGGTGTCGAACACAAGGACAATTTTCTTTGCATAATCTTCTCATTACGCTCCTAATTAATAAATCTAGCAAATCTTTGTAGTATCCTTAGACGTGATTTGAACTGAACCAGATATAGCAGGGGGCTCCCAAGCTCCCCCGCAGTGTTGCACGTGGCTGGGTCTGGAMACTTGGATGCTTCCACGGTTGGACAATACGGCAATCGGGGCCGGTAATTGCCAAAGCCAGCAATTACCGGTCCAGATTAATATCTGGTCTATAGCAAGTGATGCAACAGGTGTGGTTCAGCTGTAGCGCTCTGGAACAATATGTGCATTAATAATTACTAATACTGAGAGTGGCACAACTCAGATGAGGTCTTGTTGTCGTGTTCGAGACTCCTGCATCCACCTGTTACCCAGTGTGGACAGCCAGAGTTCATAGGACAACTTTGTTTGCGATTGTGGTGATCTCATTGGACCTTCGTGGATCGGTTCATCACGGATTGGTGGAAATAATGACTTTAGTGGCAAAAAGGCAAGGTCCCAAGGTCCCCTTGAACTTAGATCCCCTCATTCCAGTACCTCGCTACGTCCGTAGGGCCGTCCCCAATCCTGCAGGATCATGCTAAACAGAAGAACCATTGAATACTGGAAAAGATGTGCAAGTCCTGTCTTACTTTCTCTGCCACGTAACTTAGATAAATATGCGACTCCGCTCTGGAATAACTGTAGTGGCGGTTTGGGTGAACCACTCAATCTGTTTTGAGGACCATCCCAAGGCGCACAACCCTCAGATCATGTTAAATACCGCTAGCGTAGCTGCGTTGCAGCTGCTTCCAAAAATGAGCATCAATTACATTCTATGGCCTTGACCGAGGAGCAAATTCGCGCAATCTCCTTAGCAGAGAGAGTGGGCGGGACGGCTTCCCTGCTGGGCTGCCTGCTAATCTTCTTCACGTATTGCATATCGGCTGCATTTCGCAGACCAATCAACAGATTAATTTTCTATGCATCCTTTGGGAATATCTTCTCTGCGGTTGCTTCTCTGATGAGCACGGATGGAGTTACAGCGGGTCCAAATTCTCCCTTATGCCTAACTCAGGCATTTTTCATCCAGTAGTACGTCACTTCTCACTCCCCACGCCGACAGATCTTGCAACGCGTCTGATTTATTAATACCCTGGGCATGCACAGTTGGATGCCTGCGGACTCATTATGGTCCTTTTGCATGGCCCTGAATATCTATCTCACCTTTTACCGGAGGTACACGGAAGAAGATATAAAGAAGCTGGAAAAATGGTACTTCCTTCTGTGTTACGGGTTACCTCTGGTACTTGCGACTGCATTAATATGCATCAAGACTGATGCGCGAGGAAGGGTCTATGGACCTGCTGTGGTAAGTGTACCCGGATATTAACGAATGAAGCAGCGTAGTAATTCTCAGACAGATTTGGTGCTCGATCAGCGGCTCATGGCAATTCCTTCGTCTAGTGTGTTTCTATGGTCCAGTATGGTATGTTTGTGCATAATCCGACCTTATTACGTCCCTTTCTCATCGTCTTTAAAGGGCTGTCAGCATCGCAACATTTGTGATATATGCCAAAGTGGGTAGCGACATCTTCCGCAAACACAGAGATTTCAAAAGTGCAAAAGATACACTATCTGCCAGTGAAACAATCAGAAAGACACACTCAATCACCGTCCAAGTAACCACCGGCGCCGAGGGACGCCCGGCAGCTGAGGGGGAAGCTCCATATGCTGTCTGCATCGAATCTCAACAAACCCGATCTCAAAACAGGATAGATGCTCATAACGGAAGTAATAGAGCTATGTGGGGCTATATCAGATATTCTTTTCTCTTCTTTATAGCCATGGTAGTTACCTGGGTATGGTTATTCTTCCTCACTACTGACCTCATTTCGTGCTACCCTACCTATCTCCTGTCGGCACTGCTCTTACCAGCTCACACTGTTTCAAGGATATGTCTCTGATGTGAGCGAATTTACTGACTTTGTTCTTTTTCCCAGATCCCGTCGTCAATTAACCGGATATACGGTCTCGTCCACCCTAACGCGCCCAATTTCGGCTTGAACTTGGCTGGTGCGTTGGTTCTTTCTCTACAGGGCTTTTGGAACACCATTATCTATATTTCAACCACGATGCCTGTATTTCGAAGGGCATCAAGTTTCTATAGAAAGTCAACATACCGTCCACGCTTATCTCGTGAAACTTGGGGGACCCCAGCGAGGGACAGGGATGGTATTCCGCTCAATGGAATGGGCTTTGATGGGAGATCGAACGCAGGAAGCACCTCCTCTTTAGCGCTACGTCCGCCAACCAGTTCTTCAGTGGCAGTGCCTTTGAGTGAGTGTAGCTCCTATCAAGCATAGCTATAGCTATGAGACGAGAGTTGATGAGCATAATGCACTGTACCTTGATTTTGCCTTCGATAATCATGATCGACGCCCCTAAATCGATATAGAAGCCCCCGCCCCTTTGAAGGTAGCTCATGTAGATTCCGGCATCGCCCAGGCCGGAATTCCGCCGGAAGCCTGATTTTGAGAGGCTCTCAAGCAGAGGGCCGTCGAAGTCCATCTGATCCCTTACCGCCTGTTGGCCGAATTCCAGTTCGGACGGCACATTCCAGAACATCAGTCTGCGTCATGCACCAGTGGCCTATCCCCGGTGTAGAGTCCAGCAAAGATCGTCTTCGCGATCAAGGAAGGGGTGACAACCGTCCTACAGGAACGTAATCTTATCGTCACCTCGTATCCCTTTTCCAAAGGTAGTGCCAAATATCATGCGCTGAATTACAAGCACCACTAACAATAGTGGGCTTCGGTTCTTCCTGCTGTTCGGCGCTGCGGAAGTCAGAAGAGTGCGTAATGATGCCAGTAAAGCTTTTATTTCCAGGTATGATCGGTATGCTCTTCTCCCATGGCTGTCCTATAGCTTGAACAGTATGGGACGGACGGACCGCGCGGGTGTGGCGGGTACCGTCAGTCCCAAGAGTCTCCAATGCGACCACCCATTGCTTCCTATTGGCAACCCAGTCCCATTTCTTCAGATATGTCTGCAGTCATACTCCGTGCATTGAGCTCCAACATCTTCACATAGGCTTCAAGAAAGTAACCGAGCTTGTCCTTTGGAGTAAAAGCGGGCCAATTCACTGGAAATGGCACGTACGGGAGAAGATCGTACCAGACAGGATCGTGGAGAACCGGATTATGATGCGTTCCTCTCCAGTTTTCACCAATAGCGGTATTCATGTCGTGCAGAGGGATGTTACATTCAGCATTTTGAGCCTCGCGAATAATGTGAGACCAGCTTCCCCCGCACCTAGCCAAGAAGAGCCATCAGTCTTATATCGGACGACAATTATCCTCACAGAAGGTGTTGGTATGTCCTACCAATGATGAGTACCGCCGGCTCAATCAACTTGAATGACATTTCCTCCTTGTGCATATTTAACTTTTTTTCCCTATTACTAATCCGCTTATGGCCTTTTGGCCGGCGCATAGTGATAGTTTCCTTGAAACCAAAGAGTTCCTGGAGAGGGGTAAACATTGTCCATATCTTCCACTCGGATTCAATGGAAATCAACCGAGCGACACCTCGTCCACGGCTAAATTTCGTGGTGAAGGTATGGAAGAACTGGATGACTGAGATTCCACCCATACTAAAGCTGTGCTACGCAAAATGGTGTTGATTCATCCAGGCTTAAGCACTCAAGAAGACACTTGCTTTCTAGCAACATCTGAATTGAGCAGTACGTAGAACCCACGACAAACGAAGATGATCATGCCAGTAGGACTCGTCGTAAAATAAGCAAAAATTGCCCCAATGTCACGGTGCTTGAGGTTCTTATTGAGATTCTCGAGTATACCCAAAGCCAGAGCGCGTACATCTTCTGGCTCGATGGTTTCTGCTGACGGAATTCGGCCCGCAGGTATGTTGGTTGAACCCGGTTCAAGCAATCAGGGTTCGATCGACAGGGTCTGCATTTTTCGAACAAGTGATTATAATAGCAGTAAGAAGGACTGAATAATACCTAGATTATTCCTACTGGACTGCTGAAGGTGCTGTCCTTACCTGATGCAGTCACGGACAGGGGTGCTGAGTCCCATAGTTGTCCCGGGTGGACCGCAGTCCTGGTCGTGTAGGGGTCACAAAGTTTGAACATTATTAGTCTGTAAAAGTAGCTTACATTAGCTTATTTTAATAAGTCTCAGCTGTCAACGGCATAGGCCTTGATCAGTGCTGAAACATAGCCATGGCGCAGTCCATCGGCGCGAGCATGATGAGTGCTGTCTCGAGACACTCGTCCCTTGGGATGCTCCAATTTAGCCATGAAATAACCCACCAAAATGATTTACCAGAAACTTCAGGCAAGACGGCGACTGTGCCACATAGAAAGGAATTTGCAGTGGGGTAGTATCCTGTATTGGCACAGACGAGTTTCAGAATGTCTTAGTTCACAAAAAATCCCGTGAAAAAGCATCCAAGCACAGCAAGTCCACTTCATCACCAATTGAGCTCTTTATCCATCACCCGGCTGTTTACCCGATATACTTATCCAAGATCATAACCCTGTCAATCATTTCCTTGTTCAGTGGCTTAGTAGCCGTTCTAGTCTCTTTTCTCAAGAATCGACATGAAACATGCGTCGACGGTATCAAGAAAGGCAAAACCCCGAAGGATCGGCTTCGGCCCCGTGTCGCGAGATGACCTTTCCCCGCAACTTCGCTGGCTAAAGAGGTCCACTTAGTTTTTCTGAAGAAGCTCAGATTCGAGAATAGCCGTGGAAATGCTGATTGATGGAATGTTGAAACACTAGACTGCTTCATGGTTATATGCGACTAAGACATTGTTCGCTCGTTAGAACTTAGAAGGAATCGATGGCTAAGTTCACTGTCGAGGTCCTTAGGGGTTAAAGAAAAAAGGTATATAACCGCTTTCATTGTGCTCTATTTTGCTGCTTCTCAATTCACTCTCTTCCAAAGCAATTTCCTAAGCATAATCTTACCATGCAATTGCCAGTGATCAAAACAGGCCTGTTGTCATTCGTTGCCTTGCAACTGGCATCGGTGGGCACTGTTGCAGCAAGCTGCAGTCTCCCATCGACCTACAGTTGGACATCAACTGGTCCACTAGCACAGCCCAAGTCAGGCTGGGCCTCGATCAAAGACTTCACCAACGTGGTGTACAATGGCAAGCATCTCGTGTATGCCTCAGTCGCCGATACATCGGGCTCCTATCACTCGATGAACTTTGGTCTCTTCAGCGACTGGTCGCAAATGCAATCGGCAAGCCAGACCCAAATGATCAATTCCGCCGTCGCGCCGACCCTGTTCTACTTCGCGCCCAAGTCCGTCTGGGTCCTCGCTTACCAATGGGGTTCGACCACGTTCTCCTACCGAACCTCAAGTGATCCCTCCAATCCAAATGGATGGTCATCGGAACATCCCCTTTTCACGGGTAGTATCTCCGGCGGCACCGCCATCGACCAGACCGTCATCGGTGACTCTAAGAATATGTACCTCTTCTTCGCGGGCGACAACGGCAAGATCTACCGCGCCAGCATGCCCATCGGTAACTTCCCAGGATCCTTCGGTAGCGCGTACGAGGTTGTCCTAAGTGATTCCCGCAACAACCTATTCGAGGCTGTGCAGGTGTACACCGTCTCGGGACAGAACAAGTACCTCATGATTGTCGAGGCGATGGGGGCGAATGGGCGCTACTTCCGCTCTTTCACTGCCGACAGCCTCAGTGGTTCGTGGACTGTGCAGGCTGGTACTGAGCAGCACCCTTTTGCTGGAAAAGCTAACAGCGGTGCTACCTGGACGAATGATATCAGCCACGGCGATTTGGTTCGCAGCAACCCGGATCAAACCATGTCTATTGACCCGTGCAACCTGCAATTGCTTTACCAGGGGCGAGACCCGAATGTCAACCCATCCTACAATCTTCTTCCTTATCGCCCAGGGCTGTTGACACTGAAGCATTGATTTGTTGTTGCGTGTTGTTGCTTGGGAGTCAAGTAGGGGTCACAATGGAAAGTGGGGGTTGCTTTACGCGTATGTAGTTAGGATTGTGCAAGAATAGGGGCTAATTGGAATATTCCATGATACTACTAAAACTCAAGGGAAGCTAGCTAGTAATAGTATCAGGCACAGAGTGCACAGTTCCCATACTATTTTAGGGGCAACCAGAAGGTCCAGTAATCACAGAGTTGACATCTACTCCAGAGTCCATCTTACCAAAGATCATGTCTACTTCTAGAGTCTATGTCTACTTTAGAGTGATTCTCAGGCTTCACAGCCGAGATCTTGATATAAATTACTCGCTTAGCCATTTGGGAAGATTTGGCTTGGCTCTCCCTCTTGTTATACAGGATGATTACGGTACTACGTTCTGAATCCCTAGTAATATGTATGCAACTTTGAAACTTGATGAAGGTCTGAGTTTCTTCTTAACAAGTGACTATCTAGGTGATCTACATACCCTAGGCTGGGGCGAATATGGGATTTTTCATCCCTTAGTATTCGTAATCCGAGTTCATATAGTAGATTAGTATGCGGGTTGATAACACAGTAGATTACCAGTTGAGCAAATTTGATATATAACAACAGTTACAAGCGGGGAAGCCATGCCCAGTTATCTGAAACAGGTAAGCAGTAATTTGTATCAACAACAGAATGAAGGAGCATAAGGACTTCAAAACCTTTCATAAGTTAAACAAAATGCAGCAAATTCAAAAACAGCCAGGGCCACCATAAAGAAAGACACTATAAACTCTCCCCTAAAACCAATAAATAGTTGATATTTTGTGCGTAGTGCGTAGCAATCTCTGGCTGCATATCAGCTAGCAGGTGCCCGATATAGTAGTAAATGGGCATGTGAACCCAGCAAATGTCACTGTTTCATCATAGTTGCAATGAACGCTGTTGGGGACGACGGTTTTACTCCAGTTTGGGTTCGGACAGGTTGCAGCATCCTCAAGTTGGCTAGTCGATGGCTCATTAACTTGCACTGCAGGGATGTTTACACAGCCGTTCCTAGGACTAATTTTGGTAGTGGAGGAAGGCACAGTGACGGACTGGGTTTTAACGTTGACTGTTTGGCCGCCCTTATTAGTGCACGTGACTGTAGCGGTACACGAGGCTTGCAGTACGGCAGTGGCATCAGTGTGACCAACGCCGCAGATCTGAAAAGCATCGCATGAGATCTGGCTGCCGGAGCATGAGCATTGCCCAGGGCCGGATTGGAGGTGTGCGCCGGAAGGTCCGCATTGGGCGGCGGCTAAACCCAGGTAGACAGCAATCAACAGGATCTTTTTAGATACCATGATGGAGCTGGCTCTGCTGTAGGCTGATATGTCTCCACTTAAAGGTTTCAAAAGCGAATAGGATCTTGGATTATAAGTGTTGCGTTTGAAATGCGAGTATCCCTCACGAGGCTGAGTGAGGTGGGGCGCTGTTACTTTATACGCCCTGTACAAATACTTACCTGAGTTTAAAAGTCTTCTGATCGATCCAAACTAATGGGAAGACGGCCTAGAACCATGAGCACCTAACCATGGAAGTCTGGAGATCCAAGTGTCAAAGCATCGTTGGGCCGAAGTGAAGCTTATTCTTATGGAAGCGAATGAGCGTAAGCTATCATCTAGCTGTGGAGAAGGTCGAGATGCATGGCGCAGGCTCCTTTCATCATCAGTTTCTTCGGGTTTCTTGCTAGTCGTCAAATTTGCATCTCCACATCATCTGCACCTGTATTTGACTTCAGATATTACGTTTTCTATTTCATGAAGTCACGAATGCGCCTGAATCCCCCGCCAAATAACCTGCATCCATGAGTCATGACCATCATTCTATCAAAACGTGGCGACTTATCTAAAGACTAAAGATAGGTAGTCGGTCTGCCATCAGACCCACATCAGACAATCTTAAAACTCAGTTCCGACATAAATTCTCGGTAATGGAGATGTCACTGAAAATAACGTGGCAGTCATGGTTTTGTGTGACCAGCCGCCGCGCGCCGCGCATTGAAATATTACGTCAGACCATGCCAATGGCCGAATCATACGATACTTTGAAATATAGAGTATTATGTGATCTAGTAGGTGCCACCTCTGCAGGTGCAGTTGTTGATAGCTTTAAGCATCACTGCAAGTTCTGCAACCCATAATACTAATGGCTTTTCAAGAATTCATTAATCACAAAAGTCTATAATAGTCTGTATAATAGCGTGCAGAGTAGGTGGGAGAAAAATTAGTTGTAAATCTTTAGTAAGCTTATTAATTTAGAGTTTAGTTTACAATAAAGATTAAGTTATAACGAACTTAATTATATATATAGACATATCCAGCTGGAAGAATTTTATAACAGTTACTAGGTTTTAGTCATAGAACTAAGATTCTGACCTTATATATATGGACTGTTATCTGGTAGGCCTAGAGTTGGATACCGCAACTAAAGCCATAATTTTATTATACCTCAGCTGAGATCTTGAGTTTCTGTGGGTCATGAGCTCCACAATCAGGTGATGGCTATGAATCAATCCCTTGAAGTTCAGACTTTCAAGTATCCCTGTTAACCGTTTATGTATCCCTCTGTGTTGTCTGATTCCATTATGCTATCGAGAGTAACAACAATTTTTAGAAGTTTTCAACTTGAGGTAGTGCTTTCAATTCCCAAATTTCGGCAGTTCTAGACCAGAAAGCCCCGGTAGCTACCAGTTCCAGTGGTTGCTGGTTCTACTGAATTCTTGGACAGGAGTTACGAGCAGATGTCTAGAATCATCTAGCCAAATCTATGATATCAAAATATGTCTACATGGATCTAGACACAGTAAATACTCATAGTATGCGTGTTGCACGTGTGACATCATGGGTTCAAGAGCATTACTTAAAGAGAGCATTAGTCCATCGACATGTCCAGGTCAATCATCATTGACAAGCATAGGCTACAAGACATTTCTGCTATTTTTAAACGAAGCCCCATCTAAACTGCTGAGAAGCCACAATGAAGTTAACTCCAGTTCTGGTTGCTTTGGCTTTGCAGGKCCTGGCTTCTGCGACCCCAACAGAGTCTCTTGAAAAAAGACAAGATTGCGCTCCCGGCCAGACAAGATTCTGCTGCGCGGGTTTCACCCCTTTCAGTTTTCTCTTTATTCGAGGAGTCGGATCAGGATGCATCGGTGAGCTGATGCGTGTACTACATATTTGAAACAGCCTGACATGATTTTAGTTCCCCCTGGTAACTCACCTTGTGGAGCTGGCAATAGACCGCCGGATCAGGTCTGCTGCGCTAATTATTTGCCACTGGTAAGTTGCTTGTTTTGCTCCAGTTTCGTTAGGAGTGCTATTAAGTAACATTCATCTCATATAGAATAACGGAAGGCTTATCTGCACTGGATGAAAAGGTAATGAAGAAAAGGCAGACGTCTTTTGAGCAGACTTCGGAATTCCATTCAATTTACCTATTACCAAACGAGCGTTGGAATAATAATATTTCTGGGATGGCGAAAGTCGATTGAGGTCGGCAATTAATGCTAATTATGTCTGGTCATGTCTGCAATAAAAGTATGTTTGGTTTTAGTATCCATGAGTTCGACTGCCATGACTGAGAGTCTGTAAATGAACACTGGGTCACCCGGGCGGGGGCATATAGATGAATAGGCAGAGCTATGCGGAGCTATCATTCCACATGGGGAGCTACGATGCAGAACGTCCATAGCAGATTCCGAGTACTTCACATAGTAGTGGCAGGGCCGCAGGCGGAGCAGGGTTTTATCGGCATGATTACCACCCTGGGATTCACACGATTACAGGAAAATGGTTTATGAAAACGGTTTGACAAACGTCTACTCAACTTGGACTCAAATCTCAAACTGAACTTGCTTTTTCTAGTGGATGTAGTATTGCCTAGACAGCAGGCAGGATACCTCGGAACTTGAACACTGTCTGGGATCGCGAAACACCCTACAGTTTTGAACAAAAGAAGGACGCCCAGTAAGAAACACAATGGTTACAACATATACTTCAGAAACATCAGCACCATGCGGCAAGGGGGGATACAACTGGTGGAGCACTAGGCTAGGCAAGTCAGTTGGAAGGGTCACTGAGCAGCCTGTGTTCGATGGGCATCGTTAAGGCGCAGCCGCGGGCAAGTCAGACCAGGACATTCGGTGGGCCCTTAAATGGGGTGAATAATCTAGGGACGGGCCTCTTCAAACGCGTTAAGGCATAGGCCACGGGTGCTCGGGAGGACTGCGCAGCCGGGAAAACGACTTGGTTAGTGAAGGATGGTAGGATCCTGCAGGTCATCGGGATACTCAGACAGACTTTGAGAGACACAGTCGGCCGACAGAGAGCCGAGAGCAAGCTCTCGGCATAAGCCCACGTCAATAATTCCTCAGACAGCCCAGCCGCGGAACTGGCTTTCCGACGTACTCCATTAGGCGGTCGCTTTCGAGGGTTTTCGACGCGCCTGCCCATTGCACCACACAAAATCTCCACTACCGCATTCGTCGGTCTTTTACATTTCCTGGGAGCTAAATATGGTCAAAACATAAATATCCATCACATATAAGCTCGTCCATTTCAACATACCTATGACAGCCTATAACTCCTTCTCCTATCAAACCTCTTCTTCAGTAGATTCGAAAGTCACGATAAGTGAAAGGAGCCGCCCTACTCGCGTTAACCCTCTCCCTCAGCCTCTCAAACGCGGTTTCATCTGCGATGTTCAGAGTCTCAAGGGCGAGCATATCATCCGGCTCAGACTCCAAGGCAGACTAGTTAGCATTGGGGCCATTGGACGAATACCCACACGAGCCGATGGAGAAGTCAACGAGATGCGTTAACTGCGCCATAAAGGAGAGGACCTCGTCCCAAGTGCCCTGGTGCGGTTGAAATAAATGCAATTGGAGATGACTCAGCGTGTCTTTGGACTGGCGGATAAGCGGCAAGAAATAGTCGGACGAAGGAGTACGCGTGACAGCGGAG